ATTACTGCGTGGAGCCATGATAAAAGGCGCGTGGTCAAGGACGACTTGCCCGCCACGGAGTGGAAACGGGGTCGGGGTCGGGGTCGGGTAAATATTGTAGATGTAATGCTGAAATCAGAGCATACGACATACCATACAGGACGGTGATATGATACAGCACAGTACATCCAAGGCTAGAGCAGATGCTTCGTCAGGACATGCACATCGTGCTGCTTCAGAGCAGGAAGACGCTTGCCCCCTCGATTGGCGAAGCTTCATCCGCGAGCCCGCTTACTCCCCGACGAATGCGCTTGACTCTGGTCCGAAGCCTCCGCTCCGTGGAGTGAGCGCTTGCGTTTGCGAGAGCAGCTTGGGTTCGCACCTCCAGGCTGCGCGGTGCCGGACATGCCGCTCTCCTGAGCTGATCGCGTAGTGGATGTTTTGTCGCTAGCTGTGATGTTATTCCTTTGCGTCGTCGCATCGTCGTCCAGCTGGTAAGGGCGAGCAGGGGGATCATCTTTGGGCCAGTCGGGGGAGTCCAAGGCATCCTCGAAAAGTTTGAGGACAGCGTCGTGCGTCAACTTGTTACGATACTCAATGGGAACCTCGTCTGGCAGGTAATGAGTCCGCACTAACTTGCCATACTTGCGGAGGCATTCAGTGAGAGGTGCATGTCCGTCGACCGTGATGGTGGTGCAGCGTGTAAGAACGAAACTTCCTTTGCCTTCGCCATCTTCTCCGTCGAAGATTCTGGCCAAGACAGGGATGTTTGTCTTGGTATGGCGTCCAGCGGTGTATATCAGAACCCAGTAGACGGACTCAAGATCATGCCACGCTTTATGTTGTCCATCACTCTCCAATTTTTGCTGGAGAGCAACGGCGATGAATTGGATTGTCCCCTATAAGATTACGAAGGTGTGACTAGCGCTATACCCGAGATGTAGATCGTCACATACTGTGATTCGTCGTAGATCCGATGTGGCCGTCTTGTCATTGAGAAAGGCCGCGTATTCAGGGTCAATGAGGAATCCCTTCTCGGTATAGGTTTCGTTGGGATAAGCATTGATCATGATATTATTGACGCTGATGTCGCGATGGAGAATCTTCTTAGCGAGCATGCCCTCATGACCTAGAGTGGTTGTTAATAACAAGTGCATGTTGTAAAGAATGCACGCACCTTTGACGGCGTCACGTACGGCTTCCAGTAGTTCACGCGTGGAGCGAAAGCGGGTCAAAGGAATCCCCACAGACTCGAGTATACACCGATAGTGGATGCGCTCCACATACTTAGCTTTCAGTCCAGCTTTAGTGCGGAGTTCGTTGAGCGATGATGCACAGGTGCGATGGGTATTGACGGCTTCCTTCGGCGGACCACTGTCCTCCGTTTCCTGCGGTGGACGAGGGACGACGTCGACGCCACGTCTACACCGGGCAACGCCGAACATATGGCCACCTTCGTGAATCCTCTCGTAGATCTCTGACTCAGACAGGCGGTCGGAGTCACGCCACGAGTCCTTTATGATAACGTATCGTTCAGGCTGGTAGCCCTCGGCGTGACGCGAGTCTATGACGGCGGTCTGCATGGCGAGCCAAGTGCGAGTGCCGCGTCCGTGGAGAGAACGAGAAGTGAAAAGAGGTTTGCCCAAGGTAACATACTTCTCCGCCCATCGCGACTCCGATCTTGCTTCCTCGTTCAAAGGGACAGAAATCAAGAAACTGCTTGAACGCAACTCTTCGTCCTTGATCACTTTCATAGGATCGATGAGATTGTCTTTCATGGCATCGTCGAACTTCCGCTTGAGGATGGGGCGCGGGATCGCATCGGGGACCGGGCAAGTGATCGTGGTGTCGATGCCCGTGCCAGCGAGTCCGAAGGTCGAGAATCCATATAAAAATTTCACCAAGGGCTTGCAGTCGGCCTTGTATGCGAAAGATGTTGAGAATGTTACTGCCGAGCGATCCCACCGGTAGAAGCGCGCGATGTCCTTATAGAACCCGATGCCAATCAGATGACAGCGAGGTCGGGCTTGGAACGCCACCGTGGCCTGTTCCATTGTCCGATTCCATGTCGCAACGTGACCTTGGGCCATCCGCGTCGTCACTTTGTCCTCCTGGAGTGGATCTTCTGCCCGGGTCTTTTTCACCTCGATGATACCAAGTGCTTGCGTCCAAGGCAGGCCATCACCCTTGTCATTCTTCAACCGTATGTCCAGATCAGGCGCGATTTCGCGCAAATTCTGGTCGCCACTTTGCAAGTCCCTCGATACATCCTGGACGTAAAGGTCGAGAAGATTGCCGTCGGCATTCAGGGTGTCGAAAACATACTGAAGAGCGTTGCTCTGCGAGGCATGAGAAGAAATGTCAGAAAGATTCGCGGCAGAATGAAAACATGAAAAGCATACGATCCGAGCATACATCGGCCTCTCTCGATTGTGCTTAGGGCCTAGCTTAACTTTACCTAGGCGTTGCTGGAATTCTTCCAGGTGCGTGTCCTTGAAAGTGTCAAAAACCTCGTTGTGCTCGGTATTCGGGAAACAGAGGCTGAGAAAGCTGTCTAGTTTCATCGCACTGTGGGTGTGCTTGGCAGCCTCGGAGCCAGAGACGGTTCGATGGAATCCTTTCTCCCTCTTCGACGACTCATACTGAGTAACGCTTGTCAGACTATCCTGTAATTTATGGGGCGTAGTGTGAGCGGGTTTTTTGGTAATTTTACCAGCGGTGGGAGTCGCAGGAGCGTTGGAGACGTTGGCGGCAGCCGATTCAAAGGTGGCATCAGGCGTCGTAGGGCGTGGCGAGTCGGGTGGGCCAGACGACGGCGAAGGCGGAGCCACAGAAGGGGAAGGTGGCGGGGGAGTCGCCATGTTAGCAGCGAGCGGAAAGGGACCGTAGGGCAAACACGCACCGGTTCAAGAAGTTGTTTAGAATATATAGTCCCACGATATTTGTTTGTCATCGTTTGCTGTGGCACAATCGATGGTGGTGAGCGAAGTTCAAGGGCGAGAACAAGAAACAATCACGTGATTGCATTTGTCACCGTCACGTCTCTTCTTCAGCTAATGACAATGACAGTGACAGCCACCTTCCTCCGGCTTGTGGCATCTTGTCCTGAATATATGTTACATTGCGATTGCACAGGAGAGAATGTCTTTCAATGCATGTTGGGTCATGCACCATACCGATACACTCTTGCGTGACTTCGAACTTCCCCTCACAGGCTGTGAGGGAAAGAACCGGTGCGGGTCGCGGGTATGGATACCGTCGGATACGCGTACGGGTAGCACCCCGACGTACCCATGACCCGCCGGGTGTCAAAAACGCGCCGCCATACGCGGTTTTGGAACCAAAACCCATCACCAAACCCGTACCCCTACCAGACCCGTGGACACGAGTTGAGCGGGTACGGGTATGCCCTCGGACACTCGGGGGTATACCCGTGCCATTCACCGTGGGCGCCCCTTCTTGGGTAGCTCCTGAGGACCTATGCCTTATCATATTCACCGGCAAGTTCCAGTTCCCTGACCGTCTCTCACTCCGGATCTTTCGCCTCTGGAGTTGCTCCTTTGGCATGGATGTTGTCTCTTCGCCATTGACAAAGTTTACCGAAGATGGCCTTATCATCGAGCTGATGGTAGCAGTTGCGACTCCTCGAGCTCAAGTTATTGACTGCTGGGCGGCCATAGCGTTGGCCGGCAGATGGCTGGGGCTACGAACTTTCCAATCTCGCGAAGCTGATACCGATCCGTGAGGTGAGATTCTGATTACGAGTCCTGAGGTACGAAGGTCGAGTCCTTACGCGCAAAATATGCCCGCGTGCCGAACGTTGTCGGGCGTGAGAACTTTTTGTGCCGAGAAGTCGTGGGAGTTATATTTTGTATTGTAGACTACACTTTTGAAACTCAGATTGAAAGTCCGTTTGTATGTGAGACTACAAAACCACTTTTGGCGCGTTTTTGTAGTCTCTGCGACCATTGTTTGCTCGTTTGCGGACTCAATTTTTTGTCATGTCTCGTTTTTATGTTCTATTATTTGTGGTGTATGCTATATGCGTCTATGATAATATTTTTGTGAATTTATTGATCGTGTGTCTTGTCCTGGTCCGCTTGGAGTTTTCGGTTTTATTGCTTATCGTGGGAATTGACTGTTGTAGTCACTTGTAGTCGGTGGCTGACACCTTCCGACGCGTTGGTCGAGATTCCTGTCTTCTGATTGGTTGACGCTTTATTTCGGTACTGGGACTTGCCTCGTCGCATTATCTCTTACTTCGGTTCGCTCCCGATAATCTTATCTACTCTGCGTCCCTAGTCTGCCCACTCGATCTTGTCTGTGTACACGCAAGGCGTTACCCAATCATGGTCTCATTCTTTGCTTTGCTATGCTTCCTTCCTTCCCCCTCGTCCAGCCGTCTGCATTCTCTGCCCGTCAATTGTTCTCGCGCGCTAAGGGGTTCCTTGCTGACGCCCAGAGTCATAGAGTCATATTACAAGGTGCGTGTGCAGCTAATAGCCTATCACTTGTACTGATCGGACTAATACCTCATTACAGTGCCATCCAATACTGAGATGCTCGTATTGGTACGCGAGTATCTTGAGTGGGACAGTCCGACTTTCCTGTGTCGGTGTTCATGATAGCCACATAATGGTATGTTTCTATCATGGACTCCTACACTCGAACTGATCGAGACCACACACAGGGCGTCCGAGACCGTCTTTGCCGGTAATCGTTGCCTGTCAATCTTAGGCAGCCGTTCAATTTGACTATTTCGCGATCCTCATTTGTGTGGGGCAGCTTCTATCCGGTCCATCGCGCGGTGAGTACAGCTATGAGCTGTGCGGCAACTGGCTACTCGCCGTGGGAGGTACTTCAGGTTGGGGAGGGGGATATATCTTGACATACGCTCGAAGTACTTGATTCCCTCGCGGAATTTTCACTATCTATTATTTCTTGGTCTGCTTGTATTGCTGATGTAATGTACATGTACTGTATGCGATCTGAGTAGGTTCTGCGCTGAAATAAACGTCTTTCTACTGTCCGTTCTGTTTGGCCTGATGAATCGCCTGAAGTTTGGTGACGTGCGGGGACCACGCTTTACCGACTTCCTCCACGAGCGCTTTGATCTCTTCATATCCTTGTGCGTTCATCTTGTGTTCTAGTACGTCTTCTAGTTTTGTCCACACTTGATCGGTAATATCACGGCCTGAAGTTCCGGGGAAGATAGCTTTCTTCGGATTTTGATATGCGACCCAGGTATCCTCCAAGAAAAATAGGTGAGAGTTGCCAGTAAGAGACACCAGTATGTTGAGGAGAGACCCTTGTTTACGCCATAGAGCTTCTTTGCCGCCTTTACGAGGATAACCGAGCCATTCGCCTAGGGTATCGAGCGTAACACTGACCGCGTGTTCGATGGCGTTGGACCCGACTCTACACGCCGTTGTTGGTTTGATCTTCTTTATCGATGGCGGCACCAGTTGTGGTAGTGTCCCTTGACTGTCGAGCTCCAAGACGTATGGTTGTCGGTCTGTTTGATGGTCGTATATCGTCCGAGTCAGTTTTGCCAGCCAGTTAATTTTCTTCTCGAAGAGTACGTCCTCGCAAGCGTTGCGGCAGTCGATTTCTAAAAACCGCCAGGCTTTCCAGGTCCCCACCAAGATGGTATGCTTTAGTATACGGTCCACGATCGCCATAGAAGATATATTCTTGTCTGCTTTGTGGAGTTTCGCCCATATTCCAGGTAAGTTCATTGCCATTTCCGATGCTTCTATGTTGTCCGATTCCTGATATGCGAAGGTTAGCAGACTTGTTGAGATGGCCGCCAGCTGAGAAATCGACGGGAGTCCGTATATCGACCGTAAGTTGGTCTTGGCGGATGGGGCGATGGCAGTTAATCTTTGGATTTCTTGTTGTAGCTTGTTCTTGTCTAGTAATACGAGAATCTTGGCTTGTTCATCGATCTGGAGGGTATCGGCTATGTTTGTGGTCAATGATGGTTTTAGATTCTCTACAAATTCTCTACAATATATGATTTGCTCACCCGTTCGGTTTTTCTTATTTCTATTTGCGCGTGTGTCTTGGCGTTCGGTCCCTCCTCGTGTATCGTTTGCTTCGGTGTGTTAGCGGTATATAGATATTGTACTTGAATATTATACCTTCACCCGTCTCGTTTTCCTTGCGTGTCTGACTTCTCAGCTGTCTCCCTGAGTTAGTACTGGAGCTTGCTTCTCCTCCGTCGTTCGGTCGTTTCGTCGGCCTGTCTGGTAGATCTTCATTCATTTGTCTTCCCTTACCTTTACCTTGAATTGTTTCTTCCGGCTCCGGTTCATTCGTCTCTTCGTCTGATTTTGTTGATCAGTGAATATATGCGCCGTATGGCATTGACAACGACTGGACTCACCACGGTCTTTCCTCTTGCGCGGACGTGGGTGGACTCCGGTACTAGCTGCGTCTTCGTCCGACTCTTCGTCTTCGTCCGACTCTTCTTCTTCGTCTAGCTGTTCTACATCTGCGTTTGTTATTACATCAGTATATTATGTATTTCGGTAATACAGTGTAAATCCTACCTCGTTCTTTCCTTGTACCCGGACGTAAGTTCAGACTTTGAGTTGGTTCCGCCTGAGGCACGCGGACGTCTCGTGGGGGGGCTGAATAGTTTGCGAAGTATATTGTATTAGTTATTTCTAGCGAATAAGCATACTAATACTTACCTCTCGATGGTAGTCGACCATCCACGGCCTCGTGTCCTCCAAGGAGGAGTCGCTGATGTCGAGTGATATCTTCCCAACACTTGGTGATTTCCGCCGTACGTGCCACGTCGACTCGCGTTTCATCGATTTCGATTTGTTCGCCAGTTTCGCGATCGTATACCGTCGCCCCTCTTGCAAGAGTACCCGGATCGATCCGTATCTCAAACCTCTGATCGTGGTTCACAGCCTGTCGAACAGTACCTGAGAGCAGGGTCAGTAGGTACTCCGGCTGCCGATTCCCGCCGACCACATGTCCGTCTTGAGCGATCGTTGCGTGTTCGTGCCGTGCAATGGCTGCGACCGGTTTCCACGTCTCAGGAGTTACTTGAACATGCTTCTGTTTGTCGCGTCTGGGGTCGGTGTATACATTGAGTACGCATTCTTCAATGCGCGTGAGTTTGTCGGTTTGATACAGAACGGCGACAACTGAATAGACATCCTTGGGGACGTCGGGGATCCCTCTCGGTGCGACAGACGGAAGGCGGGAGTGTAGACGTCGTCCGGAGAAGGCGAGCGTGGTTGCGTATTCCATAATAATGTAGAGTCCGAATTCTAGTAGAAAAAAGAATGCAGAGGAACATTGTGCGGGTGTTGGCGTGAGTACGACAAGTTGTGTAAATGAGCCTAGTTGATCATGTCCGTCCGGGTGGATGTCAGCCGCACGACCCAAGTCTTGCGCGAAGCCATCCCGTCCGTCGTCGGCAATGGGACGCGACACGTTGATTTGACAACCTGTCCAGAAGAACCTGTTGTTCTCGTGACCCAAGGGAGGGACCTTACGTTCGAGTCCGTATGTCTCCATGAGGTCTGTTCGTTCTTGTGGGGCCAGTTTCATCGCGAGACCTCCGTATTCGGTTACCGTCTTGTCGTAATTAGTGGATTGACATGCCCGCACTTATTGGATTCTAAACGTACCTGGAGAAGTTTAATTCGGATGTCCTCCTCCGGTGCGGTCTTCGGATCATACTGCATGTTCTTGCCGGGATGAGCGAGTGCCGTCTGCTTTTCCACCGTGTATCCAATGCTATAGCAGCGATTGCCTTGATGATTGTACGGCTTGGAGTTGTCCCGGTACAGGCGACGTTCGAATGCAATTCCCCCGGTCCACTTGCGATCTACCAATGACGGGGGAGACTCTGACCTTTCGTCTGCCGGCCCCAGTACCTCCTCTACCGTCTTCGCCATCCTCTCCATCGTCTCGTCCGTCGCGAGGTTATGCTGGCGTAGTATCCCCTCATTTGTGACCCACCCTTGTAAGTCGTCTTCTTTTGCATCCATGTCCGTGCCTTTGTCGGTATCCGTCTTGACGATACGTAGGAACACCGCCATACCGGGTTCGAGCTGGACGTACCCGGCCTTTTCTACCTCCGCCGGCGTACGCGCGTCTGTAGGTAACTCGCGTGCTTTGTATTGGGCGATTCTGTACCGGACAATTAACAGTCAGGACATTAATTAGACGGAGAACGTACTTTTCCGTAATGCTGTCCTTATCAACCATAATAAGCACGACTAAAGCATCGCCCCGGGGCCACAGCGGGTGTGCACATTCATTGACGCCGTACCGCAAGTAACGTTCACCGAGCGAGGTCTCGATATAAGCCGGAGTCGGAGAGAGCTTGCTGCTGGAAGGCGCCATCTAGAATATCGAACTGTAGCTTATGATTTACGAGAGGGTCGGCGTACGTCTCTGGGCGGAGGGGGGAAATCCTGTCGAGTGTGACTGTACCAGGTACTTGAACGGTGCGGACTTGTGAAATATTGTGAAGTTGTGTTTCACGACTTCACAAACGTATATTACCTGTTTCAGCCGTTCCAGCAATTATTGTCACAAACATCGATCGAAAGGTATTGGAACTTACTTCACATTTGAACTAATGACGTATGTTGTCTCCCATTTCCCTACATTCGCATTTATACTACGTCATACCTTGGTTTATACTTCAACAGAGAGTTTGAACGTCCTTCACCAAGGTATATCGAGAGACTTAACTTATTTGCCTGACTTGAAAGAACGCCATTTGATCTAATCGTGCCGATGTTATTTTTGCATTCTGATTTGCTGGTTTGTCTTTTCGTTCGCTCGATGCCGATTGTCATTTTCTATTTATTTGTAGGGGCGCGATGGTGTCAGAAGGATGTTTTATTAAGGAGTACCTGTATCTAAACCTAGTGGCGTAACTTGAACTAAGTCCGAATCCTGAGCGTCTGTTCATCGTGCACTGCTTTGCCACGTGTACAGATCGCTGGAGATCGTACTCCGCGCCTAAGTCCGTAATCTAGTTTGTTATCTCAGCGTCTTTTCCACGTTGCTTCTTCTAGATCTCGGATCAGTGGTTGTCGAGATCTTATCAAGTCATCTCTTCTATTTGTCTATCCTTATGTTCGGTACGCCACAACTTCGTCGAACAGCATGCCAAAATATCAGGCATTTGATGTGTGCGTATATTTGCATCCATACATATTACATGAACTCATTGCTTAATCGGACACCATCTTATCTTGTGCTTCTCCTGCCACTCGCATCTTAGAAAATTGTCGTCTTGTGTCTTCGACATTTGGGTCATGTCCCGCGCGTCTCTTGATTTTAGGTAACGCTGGCTGTTTCTCTTGCGCCTGGATTGTTGAGCCACCCGAATTGACATATACAGCCTATGGCAAATGTGAGTTTAACTGATCTTGTGAGTCGACAGGCACTTACGTCTGAAAACCGGGCATCCATCAAGGTGAGAGACCTTAGTACCAGCGCAACGCGGAATCGCCCGCTTTGTCCATTCTGAGGTAGTACCAATACTGATGTCTCGGCCTCCACAATATCACCAGGCCTGAAGATGGCCGGATCGGCGTTCAAATACCTATCAATATTCAGGTGAGTAATATCCGGTATTTATGGGCGGATTCCACTTACGTTAATTTCCCTTCCTCCTCAACAACTCGGTAGTAAGTGACGTCGTTGTCGTCTGTATGCACCCATCGATCGTCGCTCAGTTTGCGGAGGATACCTTCCGGGTCTACAAGATCAGAAAAAGGTACGTCGATGTCAGCCTGATTATGTTTCCTAGCGCTGAAATATCGGTTGGATATCTCCAAGGTAGGGTGTCCATCTGTGTTGGACGGTTGCCACTCGCTGACAATCCCTTCCTTGAAGAACCGCGATACGTGTCGACTAAGGTACTGTACTGCATCCACGTTCCGCTGGAATGTCTGGCTGGAGAATCCTGTGAGTCGGATGCTTTGTCGTAGATAAGCCTTTCGCCGATTCTGATTAGGACGGATACTTGATGTTGGCGTATAAGTACTCTGTTCTTTCTTCAAAAAAATTATACTCACTAGATTGGCTCTATCTGCGGCGGTAAGTCCTTCGCTGATAGGATTCCTTGAATTCGAAGTATGACCTCTTCGTATGACCCATCTTCGTCCGGATGGAACGCAAGACGCCGTACTTTATTGTCTTCGCTGCCTGGAGTCAAAGTAGTCCCGTGACGTATCCTATCGGCCTGACATAAAATGAGTGAGTGATTTATTCTCTTGAATTGATCTCTTTGAAAAAATTACGCTGTTCACAACCACAGATAATTGCTTCCACTTTATATCTTCAGTTTCCTGTTCAGCCATACGCGTGATCCAATTAGTCAACGCTTCGGCTTAAGTATATTGTTAATGTAGGAGTGACACAAGATATAGTGCCTCTCACCAGCATCCGCAGTGTTATACGCAGGCGCCATATGAGCGTACTATGGGGGACGTGCCTCTGCCGTCCCTACTAACTTTCTTTATTACTGGAATCTGTGGCTTTAGTTCTTAGCCGAGTTCCGGTCCGATGCGTGCATGGGTGGCAACCGTACCTGGTCTTATCGATAGTTATCATTTCATCTTGTCTTTCCGGCACGTCCTCTCCCTAGTGACTAGGGCTATTTTCGTCATTTCGGGTGACTTGGCTCTGGATACAACGACAGGCCCACATGTCCGCGGCACTCATGTGATTCGTGTCTGCCACAAGTTCGCGTATTGGTCAACCAGGCGGAATCTTATGGCGCCATTTGTAGCTCTGGCAAATATAAAAAGGTGCGGTATCTAATGCTTTGCCCTATCTCGAAATCTCCGCCCCTCTGAGCTTTCTGAGCTTTCTTTGACATGACCGAAACTAAATCCGTCGGCGAAGAGACTCCTACGAGGTAAGCTTGAGCTACCATATTGCGTCTTTGTCCAGTGTCTAATTTTACTCAGAAAAACGGCTAGAAAGCCTGTTCCTAATCGACAACGCGGAAGGTGAATTCCTTATTTTTGAATAAATCATATCTGCCTATTTTTATGTTTCTTTTTTATATCAGTCCTGTTGAAGTCTCCCGGGTTACAAAGTCCACTTCTGCCAATACTATTGAGGCGACGGAGGCGGACTCTGATGGGGAGGCGGTAATCAGTATACACTCGGACAGGTATGTACTTACAATTCCTAACCTACGTCATATTTACTGACTACATTACTAGCGACGACAAGTCTTTCCCGGAGTTTGCATCTCAGGTTCGCAAGGTTGGCGGAAGCAGACACACGCCGGTAAAACCCAAGCGCCGCGACGCCAAAGGCAAAAGTCGGGCCATTGTCAGGTCAGAGGATGACCAAAGCGAGCCGGATATAGAAGTGTGAGCGTATTGCACCCTTTCTGTCTTCCATCTCTAATTCCTTAACAGCGCCCAAGCTAAGAAGAAAAGCAGTGGCACCCGGGGGAAAAGTACCTCCCAAAACGTTCTCCAGGAAGAGTTAGAGGGCGAAGATGAGTAAGCTAATTGTATATCGCCTTTATATTTGATCTAATTTTATTGTCGATTAAGAGAGTTCCCGTCAATTTCTGAATTGGCCGCGTCAACCGTGCAAGTTAAGGGTCCGGCTGTCACCCACGTCGATAAAAAAATGTACGTGTTATTGTAGATCTAAAGATGCTCATGCCTTGATAAAGACCATAGTTCCGTCAGAGGTACCAAGCGCAAGACGGAGATCCAAGAGCACGCCGAAGGAGACCATGACAGCGGTGTGGAAGAGATTTCGGTGAAGCCAAAGGATAACAAGTGGGTGTTCATTCCCTCCATATACGCACTTTGCCTAAAAGTGTTGAAGATCGGCTAAACGGACTAAGACTACCGGCAGCCCTGACAAACCCTCGATGAAAGGACACAATAAGTACGTGTTCACAATGTCTAATCCATACGACAACTCATCCAGATACGTTCAGTGATCGCAAGCCTGAAGTCAAACGTGAGAAGACCCCATCTCCTACTCCGGCAGGCGGCAACGTCGAAGACGGAGATGGTCTCCCCATTGTGAAGTATGGTATTATCTTAACCACATATTATTGATCTAATAAATCATACACAGAGGCTTTGGTAGCGACGATGAAAATAACAGGGAGCAAGATGAAGAAGAGGATGTGGTAGAAGTCCCCGTTATTAGGTACGTGGTTATATCTTTGTTTCACTATATAGTATTAAAAGCAATCCTATGCAGAGGTCGTCAGTCTCCAGTTACCCCGGAACCTGCCGTAGCGGCTCCGGTTGTACCGTATGTGTTACTTTATTCATATATAGCTGGTATTAAATCTTCTCTAGGACGGTTCCCGATCCCACTTTAATCGAGGAATTGATGGATCCCCTTCTGAGGGATACTTATAACAATCTCCCGCACTTGCAGCGGTGAGCACTTTGATTGTTCGTCCACTTATTATTTTATTTATTTATTTGTTAGATTGGGCCTGTTGGAACCTTCCTATGGCCGATACAGCGACGGCGGACAGGTAATGTTCAGTGGTTGGCGTAGCATTGTCAAGTGCTATCTGCACCCGGGGTGCCAAACCGCCTTGGAGGGAAAGCAATGCAAGCACATGGATGAAATCATGCAGTACGTCTTGCTATTTGCTGTTATGTGCAAATTTTCTAATGAGACAATTAAGGTACATCAAGATGGCCATCGTCTTTGACCGCAAAGACACAGCGCGAGACCGGTTCATTAATCTGTCCAGGATTTCCCCCGATATCTTACTTGCTTCCACGGCGAAAGGGGCCACCTTGCATGTGAAGCCCCTAATAAGCAGACCGGCTCTGTGCACCTCCGTGATATTGGTACGCGAGTCCCATTTAACGTCCTATATACAACACGGGGACTACGTCCAGAAGTACATTTCCGGTATTTTTCATACCATTGAATGGGAGAGGTTTGCCGCGGTGGTGTGTGAAGCATATAACCGTCCTGATGGCATGAAGACTCGACTCCAAGGGAGTGTAATCCAATTTACCAGTAGATCTGTCAAGGTGTCCGGTAGGTTTACTAATATGATATTTATATTCACATTACTGATTGCCGCTGCATCTAGACTTGGATGGTGGTAATGATGAGCCTTTGCCCGCTCAAGACATCCCCGGCTTGTTCAGTCCCAAGAAATCCGGTCGGACGGAAAAGGCTTCTAAATCCTCGTCTTCTTCCAAGGCGCCTGGTACTCTGAAACCCGTCTTAGAACCGACAGACTTTAGTACGTGTCTAATTTTCTCGCTTTCCCTGACTGTGTATTAATTGTACTTTAGTTCCTGTATACGATGCACGTCTTGAGATTCTCGACAGACCCCTTGATTTCAAGAAACTAATTGGTGACATTCCCTCTCTGAATTTGCCATTGTACCGTAAGGAGATCCGTCCCCTTTCTGCTGCCTTGGTAGTATATACGGTGGGGCAATGGTACGGTGGAACAGGGCCGGTAAAATATCCTAATCTGTCTTTGAACGTGCAGTGGGTAGTGCTTCTCAGTAGTCCTCCCATGTAATTTGTATCGCAGCCAAAGAATGTGATGTTGAATTGTTACGCTATTCACCATAATTGGAACAAAAACATATCCCATTTAGGTAACTTACATAATGACTATATATATGCCGCACGTGGGGTGGCTGGGCTGTCACGTGTTACACCGGTGTGGAAAGTTGTTGCGCCTTCCTGGTTCATCACCGTCTCTTCCTCTCAGTTGTCAAATCCAAACATAACTTACCTTTACTCAGCTGCTGAATGAGAAGTGCTCTTATGTTTTTAACTACCTGTTGGTGGCTTTATGCCATTCTCATACTTACTGCCGTGGTTCCTGGGAATAACTATGGAGTTTCTTCCACCTTGACTGAAAATGTACTGTTAGACGTAGCATACAACACAGGACTACCCTGTCTCCTTGATCAGGAGTGTTCTCCGGCAATTAGCCAGCTCCATATGGGAGAGATTCACAGAAGCTATACCTGTACCCTGGAATGGGATTGTGCTATGGATTTCAATCGCCCTGCGGACATAGACATTGAAACTTTAAGCCCCTCCTGCCGGAATGACTTGACTCTACATTTGGATTTCCATATTTATTATTTAAATCATTATGGTAACTCCAAAGAAAATATAAATTTCATTTATAAATCTCATGCAGCTGTAGTCTCTTACTTATTGTACTCCCATAATTACTACCCAGTTCTATGCAATCCTCCAACTAAGATGTGTACAATTATTAAACTACTACAATATAGGAATCAGATGCTCAGGCATGATTTTGCTGTGCGTTATTACAATATAAACAATTTATTCTATAATATATATGGGGGTAGATTAAATGTGCTAATTTTTAAAAGTGAACCATACCGCTCCCTGGAAAACAGAGTTCTAAGTGAAAGTGAGAGTAAATTGAGCAGCTCTGAATACCCAAGTGGTGGGGGGTTAAAAGGCCTACCTAGGGTGTCTTTCACTTCCCAGGAAATCCTCAGATATGAACACCAATATTTAACCACAGGATCTTCATCCGATGAAGGCAAATTGCAGAATATGGAATTCAAATTTCTGGACTATATGTCTCTAACTCAGGCATCAAACATATATACTAAATCCGACAATGTTGTTATCAGTCATATTCCCTTGGCAAAATTGTCTGTCAAGCTCCCCCTGACCAAATTAAGGAATATAGCTAAGTTACATGATATCTATATAAATAACAGAATGGCTAAAGCTCAAGTCGAAAATGCATTATTGATGCATCAATGTCAACAATGTCCTAATATGACTGCTATATTCCTACCTGTGGAACCTCCCAAAGTACGAACAGGAAGTAACACGAAACATCATAAAAACAAACCAATAGACATTATAACTGAAGATATTAAGTTTCCACCCAAACCACCATCTAAAGAATTACTACAGAAGATTATACATGGTTTCAGTTCTTCTCAAAACCCTGTTCTACTTGAGGAGTCAGGTTGTGCAGTGTGTGGAATATTATGTCCTATATCACAACTGAAGCCACTGAGGGATTACAAAGATAAGCTTTCATTACTTGAGGACAATGGGAGAAATATAACGAGGATGGAAAGACATCGTAAATCACAACCTATATCCCCTATTCCAGGACCTGTAATTAATAAGAAATTAAACAAAATCTGTCCTGCATGTGTTACTTCTCTATCTAAGGATAAACCACCTGATCTAGCTCTAGCTAACGGATTGTGGGTAGGGGAGGTTCCACCTCAATTACAGAATTTAACATTCACAGAGAAACTATTGATAGCCAAAGTCAGACACAATCGCTGCGTAATTAAAGTTACCTCGGGTATGCATAAAATGAGAGCAAATGCCATTCTTTTTGCCAATCCCATACCCAAGGTATATCAGACTCTCCCTCCACCAAAATCAGAACTAGATGAAGTCCTTGCATTTATTTATACAGGTCCAGTACAACCTACAGATGAAGAATTCAAAAGGACACCATTATTAGTAAGTCATAAGCGAATATCCGATGCTTTAGAATGGCTTAAGCTAAATCACATTGACTACGCAAATATTGATATATCCTATGACAATATCAAATCGTACCCAGAGAATTCTCCTCCAGTAGTTGTAAGTTATCATCCCCAGTATAAACCCAAAGACGCATTGGCTAAAAGCTTACATGATTCTGGAGAAGAAGAAGAAGGCACATCATCTGGCCCTTGTCCCTTAGTTGTTCATGGAGTTACCGGAGAACAACTGCATACAAAAAGCTTAAAGTCGCTGAAAGCACTTGCAGTGAAACATCTGACGTCTGGAGGAAAAGTTCTGGCAATGGGACATGCAGAAAACCCAGAGTCTATATACAATAATCCACAGTTATATCCGCAAGTATTTCCCTGGTTATTTCCTTATGGATTAGGAGGTATTGGTCAACCAGGTTATTATCATAAAATATCTGAGCTTGCTCATAAAAGGCACTTGCTAATGTATCATGACAAAAGATTCCAACGAGACGAATACTTCCCCATCATTGCTTTCAATCATGAACAAATCAAATCCAGTACCACTGGAGGTTTTCTACTGGCGGAAAGACAATCATTCAATGATATCACGAACAGACTTTTATCAATCGATAAAACAATATTAACAGATTTGGCCCGTAGACTATCCAACGGTGACCATGTTAAACCCAAAACACCAGAGGAAAAAGCCTGTTTTCAACTTCTTAGTGACCTGGATCATATAGGAGGACATGTGGATGGATCAGTAACAAACAAAAAATACATGAGAAATGAAATCTGGTCTCTAATCGCCTACAAAGGGGCACCATCATGGTTCATAACTTTTGCCCCTGCTGATGTAAAACATCCAATTTGTCTTTATTACGCTGGGTCAGATGAAGTGTTTAAGCCTGATATCATCCCTGACGATGTTCGAGCCAAATTAATTGCCAATAATCCTGTGGCTGGTGCTCGGTTTTTTGATATGATGGTTAAACTATTTATCAGACATGTGTTAGGAGTAGACAGTGATCATGATGGATTATATGGAAAAACAGCGGGATATTATGGCACGGTGGAACAGCAAGGTCGTTTGACATTACATTTACACCTGCTCCTATGGGTTGCCAACTCTTTGAGCCCCCAGGAAATCAGAGACAGAATGTTGGACAAAAATTCGACCTTCCGTACTGAGATGATCCAATATTTAGAAGGAGTTCACCAAGGTGAATTTATAGATCAAACGAAAGAAGAAGTTAATAATGAAGTAAGTTATGCGGCATCTCATCCAACATATAAAGATCCCACTGAAACCCTACCTGATCCACCACCCTACCCCTGTGATCATCCTTTTGCAGAGTCTTGTAATGTGTGTGTGTCTAGTAAATCATGGTGGTCTAAATTTAAAGATACAGTCAATGATCTATTGCTCAAATCCAATATTCATCGAGAATGTGATGATCGGTGTTTGGTTAAAGGAGTGTGCAAAGCTAGGTTCCCTAGACCACTAATAAACGAAACACATGTAGATGAAAACACAGGATACATTGAAATGCAGAAAAAAGAATCAATGATCAATACTTTTACTCCAGCTTTAACATACCTACTAAGATCTAACTCAGATGTCACTAGTTTGTTATCTGGCACAGCCCTTAAAGCCGTTGTGGCATATGTAACAGATTATATAACTAAAACCCCTTTAAAGACTTACACTATATTTCAGACAATAAGAGATGTGTTTGATAGGCAATCCTCTATACTGGGAGGCGATCTCAGAGATCAAGAGAAAGCTCGTAAATTACTGACTCAAATAGTCAACTCCTTGACTGTGAAAATGGAGATTGGAGCACCCATGGCATCTGCTTACTTACTAGGTAATCCAGACCACTACACCAGTCATAAATTTAAAACTGTATTTTGGAAATCATATGTGGGGGAAGTTCTTCAGTGCTGGGATGAACCATCAGGAGTAGACTCACCTGATTTGAAATCAGTGGCAAAGAGCAAAGTCATGGTCCGCAAAACTAAAGATGGATATACACCATACAGTGTGGTTATGGACTATACTCATCGGTCAAGAGAATATGAAGATATCAATTTATATGACTGGATTAGATTATCACGAAAGAAAACAATTCCAAAAACAACAGACAAAGATAAAGAAATACCTGATAACACTGATGATGATGCATCACTTTCTGGATCTGATGAAGATCCTACTATAGATAATAGAGAAGCTGAAGGTAAAAAGAACAAAAAAACCGATCCATATGAATTAACATTTATCAATGACCATCCTCAGCGTAACAAACACTATATCATGTTAGTGAAAGAAGGGTTTGGTGTAGTGCCTAACTTCATTGGAGGATCTCTACCTAGACGTGATGAAGGAGATCGGGAATTTTACTGCACTACAATGATGACTCTATTTCATCCTTGGCGGACAGGTTTGGATCTAAAATCAAAGGACCAAACATGGGACGATGTGTTTCATGCTCACAACTTCACAGCACGTCAAGAACAGTTAATGTCATACTTCAATATTCAATATGAATGCTATGATGCCAGGGATGATTACGCTAGACAAAAAAAAGGGAAAAATAAGGCTATACCAGGGTTACCGAATATCTCGGGAGATGAACTTGATGAAAGACATAACCTGAATGATGACCACTCTTACTCTGGATTACATGATGACCCTCAAGTCCATAATGCTGCTGAATTTGAAAAAGTTGGAAATAGTACAATAAAAAGAATACATCAAATGGAAGAAATGGAGAAGATACTAAATGGCGCGGGATGGTTAGAAAAATGTCCCGAACAAATCACAATTGATACGCCGTCGGGATCGAACTCCATTGAATATAAAAGTAAACAACAGTGGACAGAGCTTATTCAAAATAAAAAGACTTCCATACTAGAAGAAAAGGAAAAACATCGTCAAAGTAAAGACTCAAATGATAATGCCCAAAACAAGATCAAAACAAAATGGAATGAAGTAAAAATAGTCGATCAATCCTATCTGTTGAAAGAATACTTCAAGTCAAGACCAAATGTAGCGAAATTGCAATCAAGAGTCGTTAAAGAATTTTCATTGCGTCCAGATCAAGCAAGGGCATTCCATATAATTGCGAACCATGCCAGTGAACCACAGAGTGAACAGCTAAAAATGTATTTAGGTGGTATGGCAGGAACAGGAAAGTCACAAGTAATAAAAGCATTAATGCATTACTTTAACGAAAGAGGTGAATCACACCGCTTCACTGTGATGGCACCAACAGGCTCAGCAGCCGCTATAGTGGGTGGCTCCACTTACCACTCTGTTTTAGGTTTCACTGATAATTCTGATAAAATCAACAATTCTTCGTCAGGCTTAGCACAAGTACAAGCAAAAATAGATGGGGTGGAATACATATTCCTAGATGAAGTCTCAATGATATCATGTCATGATCTCTATCGAATCTCTGCCAGACTCTGCAGAGTGACTGGAAATGCAGATGATCCATTTGGGGGTTTAAATGTAATTTTATGTGGTGACTTTGCTCAACTACCGCCTGTCAATAGAGCCCCATTGTATAGTCACCGTGTAGGAACACAAGTGAACAGAGGAATGGGGCCAACAGATCAAGAGTCTGCATTAGGAAAAGCCCTTTGGCATCAGTTCACGACCGTTGTCATTCTCAGGGAAAACATGAGACAAAAAACACAAACCAAAGAAGATAGTAAATTAAGGCGGGCACTTGAGAATATGCGATATAAAGCTTGCACTATACAAGATATTGACTTTCTGAGGTCCAGAATAGCAGGGAAAACAGATAATAAGCCAAAACTGTCACAGCCAAGATTCAGGCACATCTCTGTTATCACAGCCCGCAATATACATCGAGATAAGTTAAATCAACTGGGATCTACTCAATTTGCAGCTGATACAAATCAACAATTGCATCATTTCTATTCCGTTGACAAATGGAAATCAGACACAACATCTAATAAAAGTAAAAACAAAAGCAGAAGTAAAAGTAGCAACACTTATCACTCAGAAACTATTGATGATGCAACTCAGAATATATTATGGAACCTTCCACATGATGCAACAAACCATGTACCTGGAAAATTATCTATCTGTATAGGCATGCCTGTATTAATTAAAAAAAATGAAGCGACTGAATGCTGTATCACGAATGGGGCAGAAGCAAAGGTTGTGTCTTGGCACTTTGACAGTTCATCAGGTAAACCTGTACTAGACACACTGTTTGTTGAATTAGTAAATCCTCCTAGGACAATACAATTAGATGGCTTGCCCAAAAATGTGGTACCTTTGACTAAGCACACTTCAAACGTCCAATGCAAAATGCCAAATGATCGTATAGTTTTTGTGTCACGTCAACAAATACCAGTCTTACCTAACTTTGCCATGACAGACTATGCATCCCAAGGAAGAACAAGACCCAATAATGTGGTTGATTTACACAACTGCTCCAATCACCAATCATATTATACATGCCTATCTAGAAGTGCCTCCGCTGAAGGCACAATCATAATTCAAGGATTTGATCCAGCAAAAATTATGGGTGGAGCATCAGGGTACCTACGACAAGAATTCAGAGAACTTGAAATACTAGATCATATAACTAAACTAAGATATGATGGTCTACTACCAGGTCACATTCAAGGTCACCGACGCAATACTCTAGTTCGTGCTTATCAAATCTGGAAAAAGGATGACTGTCCAAAGCATGTCCATGCCGCTATTAAATGGTCAAAAACAAATCCTTTACAGCTGACTGACTATGTTGAAGACGCTCCCTGGAAACTATTGACGGAAAAAGAAAAAAAAAGAAATCAAAACAATGAGATTCCAGGTGTGACTTCCACACAGATACCTAAACAACCTGTAAAAGGCATATCGACATTGACAGAAAAGGCCACAAATGACGTGGAGATCACTGCTACAGAAATGCCTAAACAGCAAATACATGACAAACAGCCATTACCAGAGAGCAATATAAAGAAGCCAAATATCCCCTATGATCAAATAATCACACAAAGACAGAAACAACCAATTGGTTTTATCTGGAACTCAAGCTACACTTGTGCATATGATGCGGTACTTACTATCATTTATAATCTGTGGGCAGAGAAAATAAATAAATGGAATTCAAAACTCAAATTCAATGAAATACTGATAAACCTAACTGCAAACTTCAATGAAATTAAAAATGAACAAATGACTATGGAAGTATGCAGAGATAGACTACGACAAACCTTACATGGCATAAACCGGAATCAATTCCCTTTACAAAGAGGAGAAGGAGCATCCGTAGGAGATATCTGCAATAAACTTCTACAAACTCAGAACATGGTAGAAATACTAAATACTTGTAAAGTCTGTGACAACCAGACAATACAAGATCGGAACAATTTACTCTTTGATTGTCACAATATAATTCCTATAGGCCAAATAAGCAGAGGCCAACTAGTCAACAATAATCAACCATCCTCCATAATAGAATGGCTGGGAAATTACCTAGGTCCCACAGGGATAGAAGGAAGCTCCAGACACTGTGGGAAATCAGTCACCAATATAATTCAATTAAAAGTGGCACCTCCAATGTTTGCATTCCATTTATTCACACCCAATTTGAAACTAAACAAGAGCTTCCGGATGAATATAGGAGGACAAAAAAAATACTACTTGACAGGAATAATTTATCATGGTGATTATCATTTCAACTGTCGGTTCATTGGGAAGGATGGAACAATTTGGTACAATGATGGCATGGTCACAGGAAGAAACTGTATAGAAGAAGGCAATCTCACATATACAGACTTAAATGATTTAAATACATGCAAAGGGAAAACAATAACTATCGCTATATATTCACGCCGCTACTAAGGAAATGACAAAAAAAACTCAGGACTCGTAACATGCCATGCAACGCAGTGGCCCACACCCCCAAGTTACAGAAATGTGGTACTCGGATTCTAATGATTGCCAGTGTCTCCTCCAGGACTGCGTAAGTTTTCCCTTGATCTCCCTACATGCCACTTCTCACCTTCAATGCCAGCTCGACTGGGGCTCCTACATGTACACGAAGCCCGTCTTGTGATAGGTCTCTCCGATACCCTTCCGAGTGTCACCCATGACTATGCGTCTACATAGGTGGGGGAGAAAGTTCCTGTGTTGCAAACTGGAGTTCCTTTGAATTCTCCTTCGTTACGTTCCCCTACTCCTCAGGCTTTGCGCGATTTCTTTTGTTAGAGAATCACAATTTACAAGCTAATGGCTTAGCGCTCCTGTAGACTTTCCGTGTCTCTGTACCTCTCAAATTCTGATGGGGACTTCAGGCAATTCTTTACCCCCATCATGGTCCCCCTCCTTCCCTCCTCCCATAATGCAGTCTAAATTCCATGCATCACTTCCACCTACCCCTGGCTTTATTGTGGTCTTCGCTTACTATCACATGTCAGAAATCAGGAGCTCTGGCTGAGGTGGCCAGCCTTTGTATAATATATAGCAATATCGGGGCATAAGCTGGCAACTTGTCTGCCTCAGTCTCCCCGCAGCTCATTCCCTCTCTGCGATCACCTCATCTTTTCCCCTCTCTCATTTTTCCCCTGCCTTCTGTTCCCCCTTCCTCCTCCTCCTCCCTCCTCCTTCTCCGGCGGGGCCGCTGTTTGCCGCGGCCCAACACGACCGTGTGCGCACGTGGTAATGTGTGCTAATGTTTGGCTGCCACGTCTAACTGACGATTGACGAGAAGGACTTTAATCCTTCATCCTGCAATTCGCTTTCGTACTTGACCTCCAGCCGCTCGTTGGCTATTTCCTTTCATCATGAGCGGGTGTATGTTATAAAATGTGGTTTTCAAATGGTTTAAGGCGCTAACAGAACGACTGTAGTCCGGTTTCTGAACCTCGTGCGCCCGTTTCTGCCCATTCTGCCCGAGGTTTCGTCCCCAGACCGGAAAGTGAGTATGCGTGTCCACAAAACGCTGGCAGCTGCTGATTTCCCGCAGGTACCGTTCAACCAAAAGGTGCTATGGACCGCGGTGACGCTGCTTATTTTCCTGGTGTGCTCCCAAGTCCCCCTGTACGGCATCATGTCTTCCGACTCGTCCGACCCACTTTACTGGCTTCGTGTCATACTGGCTTCTAACCGTGGAACGCTTATGGAGCTCGGTATCAGTCCTATACTGACCTCTGGAATGATCATGCAACTATTGGCCGGCGCAAACTTGATCGAGGTCGACTTTTCGTTGAAGGAGGACCGCGCGTTGTTCAGCAGTGCTCAGAAGCGTGCGTTTGCGTTTGCGTTCACCAGTAAAGGAATCGTAGCTAACACTTTGCAGTGTTCGCCCTCATCATCTCACTTGGACAAGCCACCGTCTATGTCCTCACGGGTCTCTACGGCCAGCCGCGCGACCTCGGCGCCGGCGTGTGCCTCCTCCTGATCCTGCAGCTCGTGTGCGCCGCGCTCATCGTGATCCTGCTCGACGAGCTGCTCCAAAAGGGCTACGGCCTCGGCTCCGGCATCTCCCTCTTCATCGCGACCAACATCTGTGAGTCCATCGTCTGGAAGGCCTTCTCGCCCACCACAATCAATACCGGCCGCGGGCCCGAGTTCGAGGGCGCCATCGTCGCTCTCTTCCATTTGCTGTTTACCTGGAACGACAAGGGCCGCGCGCTTCGCGAGGCGTTCTGGCGCGACCGTCTCCCGAACATCATGAACCTCGTTGCGACTGTCGCCGTCTTCGCCGTCGTCATCTACCTCCAGGGCTTCCGCATCGAGATCCCCGTCAAGAGTAACCGCTTCCGCGGCCAGCGCGGCAGCTATCCCGTCAAGCTCTTCTATACCAGCAACATGCCCATCATGCTGCAGAGCACCCTCACTTCGAACGTCTTCATCGTCTCGCAGATGCTCGCGAGCCGCTTCCCGGACAACTTTTTCGTCAAGCTGCTCGGGACTTGGGAGGTGAGCGTCGGTCCTTGTGCGTTCACGCTGGTGCTGACCCCTTCCAGCCTATGGAGGATTCTCCCCAGCTCGAAGCCGTCGGCGGTCTCGCGTACTACATGTCGCCGCCGCACACGCTGCGAGCCGCGCTCCTCGACCCGCTGCACACCCTGCTCTACATCGCCTTCACGCTCTCCGCCTGCGCGCTCTTCTCCAAGACGTGGATCGAGATTTCGGGCAGCGGCCCACGCGACGTCGCCAGGCAGCTCAAGGACCAGCAGCTCGTGCGTGACGTTCTCTATCCTGTTCATGCACGTGAAGTCTGATCCATTCCATCATAGGTGATGGCCGGCCACCGCGAAGCTTCGATGTACAAAGAACTCAAGCGCGTCATCCCCACTGCTGCGGCGCTGGGCGGCGCTATGCTTGGCCTGCTCTCCGTCGTTGCGGACCTCATGGGCGCGCTCGGTAACGGCACCGGTATCCTCATGGCCGTCACCATCATCTACAGCTGTGAGTTCCAGCGTTCCCTGTTGCGCTGTCGGCTGAGTGCTGACGTTTCTCTGACAGACTGGGAGATTGGTATCAAGGAGTCCGGCCCTGGGGAGATGGGGGCATTCGGGGATCTCATCTAAAGTATCTCGTGGATGTGTAGCGCAATGCAATATTGAGCTCTACGAGTCATGATGGGAAGAACCGCGGGGTCAGCGCGAAACGAGGCTGCTTGACGAGGGGTGCACGATATATATTTTTGTGTATATCTATATACCTAGTCGAGCGATCGGCTGTTAATGAAACCGAAAGCGAAGACCAAGCGGGCTCGTTTGAACGAGACACGTAAGATCTCCATTAGACTGAGCACGTCACCCTTCGGCATTTTCTTCATCACTGAACCGATGGCTTTGCGCATTGTCTATACCCCGTGCTCACGGACACTAGCCACAAGATCTCTACTTTCCGAAACGGTGCCACATTACTGTATCTTCTCACCGAAACCAGCCACAATCCCTCTACTCGTTGAAACCAAGCCACAATCCCTCCAGAATAGCCGCAACCCCCCACGCACCGGGATCAGGCGGCAGATCCCCCGCACCGCTCCTGCTACCCTCCGCCGACTCCGCGCCGCCGACGTACACGGCTCTCCCTAGTCTTGCTTTCATACCCCGCGTCCCCTCGGCGCCCTCCTTCGCAGCGCTCACTGCATCGCCGAGGCTCTGCGTTGTGGAGAGTACAGAGCAGAAGGGATGCAGCGCGTCGATGACGGTGCGGTCCCCTGGTCGCGCGGGGGTGTAGGACGAGAGGGAGGAAAGCGCGGAGAGAGGGGCGGTGGACCAGGAGGCGGAATCAGAGAGTGAGGTGGACAGGGATGTGAAGTAGAGAGCGAATACTGTGTTGCACATCAGTATGGCCGAGGACACCGGCACGCCAAGAGGAGGACAGCGAGGGGGAAGGATCGAGACTTACGAGCACCAATGGTCCCGCCCATATTTTCCTCTAGGATCTCACCTAGTTTTCGGGATAGTTGAGGGGGATCGAGTGATGCGACGTCGAGGGATCCCTCTTCCATTGCTCGCGTCACCGCTATCAAGCATCGTCAGTGCGTGACAAGGGGCAGCAAAGGTGTATCACCTCGAGCCCCAGCGGCAAAGGTCTCCCCGCAGTCTCCATCCCCCACGATGGTGTCGAACCGTGTCATATCAGCTTCTACTGCCAAAACCTGCTCGCAAGCTTTCTCGATGCCTCGTTTGACTCGAATGGGGGAGACGTCTGCCTGCCTATACCAATCCGCCCCGTTACTCTCCTCCGGCTGAGTGTCGATTGCATCCGAGCTGAGGAGGTAATTGAGAGAGTCAACGAGTAGATCCACGTCGTTCTCCTCGGCCTTCCTATCACGACGACCAGCTCTCTTCACTGCCGGATCGAGGGATTGGGATCGGGATGTAATGCCCCAGCCCTGACGGACTCCCGCCCAGGCGGTGGCCTCTGTTGGGTCGTCCAGAAGTTGTAAGATGTCTAGCTCGGACTCCACGGGTGTCTCCCCTGAGCTTGCGAGGTCACGGTAGACACCAGAGAGGTTGAGGAGGGAGATCGAGAACCCCGGTGCGTTGAGGGATGTCATGTACGAAGAGCAGTACACGCGAAGAGGGTGGATCCGCTTTGATTCTAGTGCAACGTGAATAGGTTTCGTTAACTCGAGAGAGCAGGAAACACAAACCTAATTGGTTGAGCGTCTCGTCGACGACAGCAGATATCTCGAGCTGCGAGATGCCTCCGAGGTTATTGATGTATAGAACCATGTCATCTGCACCATCATCATCCTTTCCGTACTCGCAGAACCCGCCGTTTTCATCTCTCGACGTGAATATCGCCTCAAGCATATCCTGTATGAGCGTCTCGGCTCCCATCATCTTTATTTTCCTCGCACCAGGCTCGTTATGCAACCCCATGCCGATCTCACACTCATCCTGACCCAGTGAGCCATCCTCCTCATCTTTCGCCTTACTCACCACCCGCCCGGGGACATGACAATGGTCCAATCCGACGCCTATACTCCCGAATCTCGCAACAACCGCGTCCCCCACGCGCTTCACGACGTCGACCGGGGCTCCCCGTTCAGCAAGAGCGCCGAGGACCTTACACACAAATATATTCCCGCCCAGCCCTCTCGGCCCGATCAACGACGGATTCGGCGCGCGTAAGAGCGAAACGTCGTCGGACACGACCACTGAGCGGATGTCAAGGTTAGGTATGAGCGCCCGCGCCTTCTCAATCGCCAGCCCAAAGTTGAGGCGGTCACCCGTGTAATTATTGATGATCACTAACGCCTCGCGCTTCTCCCGCTCGTCGCCGCGGCCGTCCTCACCGAAGAGGCCCAGCGTGATCGCGGTTACAATCTGCTTCGCGCTGGGGCTCGCAAAGACGTCCCCCGAGACCGATGCGCTGAGCATCCCGCGGCCGGTGTAACCTGCGTGTGCGGGCTCATGCCCGGCGCCGCCACCAGATATGAGTGTTACCTTATGAGGGTCGGTGCTAGCCTGGGGCTCTTGGTCAATTGGGGCAGCTCGATAGACGGTCTTAGATGATGCATGTCTGCAATGATACGGAGTCAGCTATGATAATATAAGGATCTAGACCTCTTACAGGCGTAAGGACGGATTGAGGGCGACCGCTCCTCGTAGAGATTTAACCACAAGTCCCTGAGGGGAGTCGAAGACGTGTTTACTGGACATCTCGCGTTAGGCTCGTGAATCGGTTGAGATGAAGGCACTGCAGGTATCAAGGCGCCGCAGCGGAACCCAAAACGACGCACCGCCCATAAATATAGACCCGGACATCCGTCAGAGGTCATCTGTCCACGATTGTGTCTTCAATTGCTGAGAAGAAGACGGAACTAAAGATGTCGAGAGGGCGGTCATAAGATCGAGAGGGTCACCTGACTTCACGTAACATGGAGAGAATTCGTGCTTCAAGTTCAAGTCAGAATATTTCCGTGTTTGATATCCTGCCAGACATGTACACACATACCGGCATCTTGAACTCCCACTGTGCCAGGTAAATGCAGAATGTGGAACCAGCTGTCTGTGCGCGACTGGTGACTAGTAAGTCTCCAGCGGCTGCGCAGCATTCTTACAGGAAGTTATCTGGGATATGGACGTCGCACTGATAGGAAAGCACAGCTAGAAATAAACTAGCACTCGAGGGCCCTTCCTGTGATATGTACAGGACTGCGCCCTGGGGGCTCTCGAAGGTACGTCAGCTGTCTGGTTTCAGCTGGCCTGTCTCCTAGAGTCTCCCGAGGCTCCATGCCATCCTAGCCGCACAGAGGTATATAATAAGACATCCTATAGTTCTGGCTCGGACTGAGTAAATCAAGGTAAAGCAGAAGAAAGTTCGAGGAAAGCGCCTAAGTAGAACCCGGCAACGCCCGATGTTGTGTTCGAACTCTCTGCACCACTGCATCTGTACCTTTGAGAACTCCAATTGACCTGCCCTTGTTCGAGATCAAGCTATGCATCCTGCACTCGAACAAACAGACCTGCTGTTGCTCATCTTCGAGAGGCTAGAGCTGCATGCGCATAGTAATCGTGAGGGCACCAAGCAACCGGATCTTCTACGAGCTGCGCTGACGTGCAAGACGTTCAGCGATGTGGCTCTGAGAATAATGTGGAAGCGCCTCGATAGGATTCACCATCTCCTACGGCTCATTCCCGGTATTGTGATGAGAAATGGTTTCTGCGTGAGTAATAGACGAATGTTTGCGCGGCCAATGATATTTTTCTTGCCCTAGTTATTCCCAGTATGGGAACCTGTGGCTGCTTGCCATATTCAACGATTTTGCAAGTACGCGTCGTATGTGACGTCTTTAGACTATTCTGGTAGTCCGAAGATCCACCCCTCAGTGTGCGAAGGGCTACAGTCACTCCGTCTCTCTCCCGTTCTTCCGAATCTGCAACAGCTGAACTGGTGGGGCGTCCCCATCGATGGACTACTCCCTACACTTGTCGCAGAAAATTCTAGTCTACTTTCGATGGATATCTCTCTTCGGCCGGAGTCTAATATGCCGGATAGTATTGCAGAGCTGCAGGCTATCGTCCATAAGCTCCACACTCACGGTCCTCGCATGCAGCGCCTACGTTTGACAGACATACCGGTCGGTGTCTCATTACAACGCCTCGCCCAGCTGAAGCATCTTCATGACTTGCTATTATGGTTCGAAACTTATACACTATCTGACATCCGTCCTGGCGATCTGCTCACCTGGGATACCTTCCATGCCATGTCCCCCTTTGATCGATTCCGGAGACTTGACATTGATGTATCAAACCTACACCTCCCGTCAGATTGCCCCTCTCTTCGATTCGTCGCGCTCGAAATGCTGACTTTGAGAGGGCCCCTATCACTTGCGACGGCGCTTTTGGTCCATATTCAGTCAGACACCTTGATGTCCCTCAATCACTCTGGCATAGACCCGGACTCGGGGCTACCAGCCTTACTGAACACTGCTCCGCCCTTCCCCCACCTCTGCCACCTCCGACTGGAAGTTCCCCACACATTGAGCAGATACCCGGGGAGGGATATCCTCTCTCGATTTCTCCTATCCCCTCGGCTCCAAACCCTGGACATCAGTTGCACTCCCGGATCCATCCTCTTCTCAAAAGATGATTTCGTGGAAATGGCTCATGCGTGGCCGCAGTTGACTGAACTATCCCTCACCGTCCTCCGTTCGCGGGATATACATGTAGATGGACCAGATGCACGGCTACCCTCAGTCCCTCTGAGCGTCCTGGAGGCGTTTGCGCGACACTGCCCGGAACTCAGGGAGTGGAGTGCGCCCGTCATATACGACACTCCCCTCCAGACCGTCTCCCCTCCAGTGGCGCACGAGAACCTTGAATCGCTGTTCGTCTCCACACCTGCCCCCGATACGCCGACGGCGGGGGAAGCAGCACGCTTCGTATATAGTATTTTCCCGTCAGTCCAGACGATATATGAGCGCGCGGCATATAGGACGATAGAGGCGATGGTTCGGTGTCTTCGAATGGGTAGGCAGGATTTTCTGTCTGGCAATTCGGAGTGGGATTCAGAAAGCGGTGAGGGGGATACTGCATCATCAACGTAAATGAAGGTGACGACGGGACACTCGGAGCTCAGAATTGTGGCGGAGGCTATGGAGTGCACTAGCCGCGACTGAAGAACGTTACATAACCACGCTTGTAAGAGTCGTGGGTGACAGGCGGCGAAACCTGGCTGGAGGCATTTTGCTCTGCATGTTGTACATAGGTGTTCTCAGCCATGTATCCTATTCCCCCATCCGCATCCTCAGTTTTTGCGTCCTTTATGGCGCTGCAGGGTCATAAGCTCGTTGGTCAATGACAGAGCCACAGATCGGTGCAGGGAATGCGCCATTAGTGTTCGGCGCGGGTCGCACCGCGGGTGGTCAGAGCGACACCGCACCCGCACCCGCATACTCCGCAGCCTCGGTGGGTGCGGGTCTAAAACTCGCCGCCGAGACCGCGGGTCGTTGGCCGATGCCCGAGGCCACCAGGGACCACTACATAGGCATCGAGGATGGCTTACCAGGTGAGCTGGGTCATCGTCCATTGCACGTAAGTTGCTCGCAAGGCTGGTAGTGGTCTTAATATGCTCATTAAATGACTGGTCAGTTGATTTCTAAGTCTAAAATTGATCATTTCAGGTAAAAAAACGGGACCCCTCAACGAGAACCGCGGACCCGTATACCCGGCGTCGCGGGTCGCGGTATGGCACGATGTGGACAGTCCACGCATCGTACCCGCACCCGAGCGACCCTCGGGTTGAATACCGCGGTGGCACCCGCAACACGAGCCCAACCTTATGCGCCATGCGTATTTTGCATTCAATATTACAATGTGCATATGTTCTACTAGACCGGTAGAATCTACAAAGCGATTGACGGGAGATTTCCTGCATCACAATACGTCACATAGCCTAACATGCATTGGAAGACATTCTCTCCTGTGCAGTCGCAGTATAAAACATATTCACGAAGAGATGCGGCAAGCCAGGAAAAGAAGCAAGTGGCTGTGATTGGCTGAAGGACGGTCGGGTCGGGGTTCCAAACGCGATCACGTGACGATGGTGTGGTATCTGGTTCTCACGCGGCGCTCATTGTCTGCTCTCCGAACCACCACGAGCCGACAACGACCATCGATAGTGCCACAGCAAACGATGACAAACAAATATCGTGGGACTATATATTCTAAACAACTTCTTGAACCGGTGCGTGTTTGCCCTACGGTCCCTTTCCGCTCGCTGCTAACATGGCGACTCCCCCGCCACCTTCCCCTTCTGTGGCTCCGCCTTCGCCGTCGTCTGGCCCACCCGACTCGCCACGCCCTACGACGCCTGATGCCACCCTTGAATCGGCTGCCGCCAACGTCTCCAACGCTCCTGCGACTCCCACCGCTGGTAAAATTACCAAAAAACCCGCTCACACTACGCCACATAAATTACAGGATAGTCTGACAAGCGTTACTCAGTATGAGTCGTCGAAGAGGGAGAAAGGATTTCATAGAACCGTCTCTGGCTCTGAAGCTGCCAAGCACACCCATAGTGCAATGAAACTAGACAGCTTTCTCAGCCTCTGTTTCCCGAATACCGAGCACAACGAAGTTTTTGACACTTTCAAGGACACGCACCTGGAAGAATTCCAACAACGCCTAGGTAAAGTCAAGCTAGGCCCGAAGCACAATCGAGAGAGGCCGATGTATGCTCGGATCGTATGCTTTTCATGTTTTCATTCTGCCGCGAATCTTTCTGACATTTCTTCTCATGCCTCGCAGAGCAACGCACTTCAGTATGTTTTCGACACCCTGAATGCCGACGGCAATCTTCTCGACCTTTACGTCCAGGATGTATCGAGGGACTTGCAAAGTGGCGACCAGAATTTGCGCGAAATCGCGCCTGATCTGGACATACGGTTGAAGAATGACAAGGGTGATGGCCTGCCTTGGACGCAAGCACTTGGTATTATCGAGGTGAAAAAGACCAGGGCAGAAGATCCACTCCAGGAGGACAGAGTTACGCCACGGATGGCCCAAGGTCACGTTGCGACATGGAATCAGACAATGGAACAGGCTACGGTGGCTTTCCAGGCCCGACCTCGCTGTCATCTGATGGGGATTGGATTCTATCATGAAATCGCCCGTTTCTACCGGTGGGATCGCTCGACAGTAACATTCTCAACATCTTTCGAATACAAGGTCGACTGCAAGCCCTTGGTGAAATTTTTATATGGATTCTCGACCTTCGGACTCGCTGGCACGGGCATCGACACCACGATCACTTGCCCGGTCCCCGATGCGATCCCGCGCCCCATCCTCAAGCGGAAGTTCGACGATGCCATGAAAGACAATCTCATCGATCCTATGAAAGTGATCAAGGACGAAGAGTTGCGTTCAAGCAGTTTCTTGATTTCTGTCCCTTTGAACGAGGAAGCAAGATCGGAGTCGCGATGGGCGGAGAAGTATGTTACCTTGGGCAAACCTCTGTTCACTTCTCGTTCTCTCCACGGACGCGGCACTCGCACTTGGCTCGCCATGCAGACCGCCGTTATAGACTCGCGTCACGCCGAGGGCTACCAGCCTGAACGATACGTTATCATAAAGGACTCGTGGCGTGACTCCGACCGCCTGCCTGAGTCAGAGATCTACGAAAAGATTCACAAAGGTGGCCATATGTTCGGCGTTGCCCGGTGTAGACGTGGCGTCGACGTCGTCCCTCGTCCACCGCAGGAAACGGAGGACAGTGGTCCGCCGAAGGAAGCCGTCAATACCCATCGCACCTGTGCATCGTCGCTCAACGAACTCCGCACTAAAGCTGGGCTGAAAGCTAAGTATGTGGAGCGCATCCACTATCGGTGTATACTCGAGTCTGTGGGGATTCCTTTGACCCGCTTTCGCTCCACGCGCGAACTGCTGGAAGCCGTACGTGACGCCGTCAAAGGTGAGTACATTTTCTACAACATATACTTGTTATTAACAACCACTCTAGGTCATGAGGGCATGCTCGCTAAGAACATTCTTCATCGCGACATCAGCGTCAACAATATCATGATCAATGCTTATCCCAACGAAATCTATACCGAGAAGGGATTCCTCATTGACCCTGAATACGCGGCCTTTCTCAAGGACAAGACGGCCACATCGGATCTACGACGAATTACAGTATGTGACGATCTGCATCTCGGGTATAGCGCTAGTCACGACCTTCGTATTTTTATAGGGGACAATCCAATTCATCGCCGTTGCTCTCCAGCAAAAATTGGAGAGTGATGGACAACATAAAGCGTGGCATGATCTTGAGTCCGTCTACTGGGTTCTGATATACACCGCTGGACGCCATACCAAGACAAACATCCCTGTCTTGGCCAGAATCTTCGACGGAGAAGATGGCGATGGGAAATCATCTTTCGTTACTAAACGCTGCACCACCATCACGGTCGACGGACATGCACCTCTTACTGAGCTCCTTCGCGAGTATGGCAAGTTAGTGCAGACTCATTACCTGCCAGACGAGGTTCCCGTTGAATATCGTAACAAGTTGACGCACGACGCTGTCCTCAAACTTTTCGAGGATGCCTTGAACTCTCCTGATTGGCCGACAGATGATCCTCCTGCTCTCCCTTACGAACTGGGCGCGGATACGACGACGCAAAGGAATCATGATATAGCTAAAGAAATCACGTCGACTACGCGATCAGCTCAGGAGAGCGGCATGTCCGGCACCGCTCAGTCTGGAGGTTCGAAGCAAAGTTCCGCTCGCAAACGCAAGCCCTCAGTCCAAAGAGCGGAGTCTTCGGGGCAGGACAAAGCCCAATCTTCGGGGAGTAAACGGGCTCGGAAGTGAAGCTTCTCCAATTGAGCGAACCTGAGCGGGGCAAGGCTCAGCTGGCTCTTAAGGCAGGATGATGTGCATGTCCTGACTCAGTATCTGCTCTCAACTTGGATGTACCGTACGGTATCTTATCACTGTCCTGTATTGCTTGTCTTGTTCTCCGATATCATCACATGTACAATACTCGACCCCGACCCCGTTTCCTCTCCATCGTGTGCAAGTCGTCCTTGACCACAATTTTCGCGCCTTTTACTACGGTTCCACACAGTAATCGCACCAGACGAGTCGATGAGGGATGTACTACCTATTGTCGTACACGTACCAGATCATGTACTTTGCTAAAGCATCGACTTTCAAGGTCGCTTATATATCTATAACACGTATCTGAATTCCCGATTCTGCCTGTCGGTCAAGTCCAGGAATTCCTGTCCAAAAGTGCTCAACAGAGGATCTGTAAGTCATGAAGGCAGCACTTACTTTATCCACCTTCCTCTCCACCCTGTTCCCCTCCGAGTCGATAGCCTCGATGTACACATCATCATAGGTGTCGTCCGGAGGCTCCTGATCTCTTAGCTTGTTCTCTTTCCACAGTATGTACCGGATGACGAGCAAGATCAAAGGACAGATTGCGTAGCAGACGCCGATGATCGCCCACGGAACGTGGTTGCTAAGAAGCATGAGGCGTGAGACACTCTGAACAGACAGAGGAGAGCTACTTTACCGAGGTTTGTATTTTTGTTGCCACATGAACGGCCCTAGCGGAGCACATCAGAGTTATCGTCTATCCAACAGAACAGAGCAATACGTACCGGCTGCATTACCGACACAATACGCGGAAAGCATGATTGCGTTGGCTGCATGGCCGTCAGTGTGATGTAGGTAGGACTGCAGCTGCTAGATATGAACGCACTAGTTACTTTCTTCGTATGGCCCGCTGTAACACTCGACAGCCAGGAGAGGCTCATGACAAAACCCGTCACACTGATACCTACATTACAGCGAGTGCCATCAACACATCCACCCTGGCGGTCACTCGAAGGAGCTCACTAACCTGACAGCCACTGCGCGAACAGCAAACCGATCTTATCACTCCACGGTAACGTACTGATAAGAATGACCCCTAACAATGATGGTAGAAAATATGCCGCGCCCGTATACCCTCTACCGTTCCTCACCCGTGCGGCTATCGTCACCCCAGTCCAGATGGTCGCGATCTCCACCGCGCCGTCAACACAGCCGAGCAGCGTCGTCTGGAAGGTCGTGAACCCGAAGGACGCGACGATGATCTGGCGCTGGTTGGTGAGTGAGTTCGGGACGTTGTCGAGCGCGGAGAAGAGGGCAAAGAGCCAGGTCTTTGGGTCAGTGAGGGCTTCCATCATCCTAATAGGGCATCAGTCAATGGTGGGTCCAATGGACACGAGCGCATGCGGAGGAGACGCACTGATCTTTCTTGAAGTGTTTGTTCTCAACACCAGTTTGGTTTTCCTTCGTTGAATCGATCAGTCAGGCGGACATACGCTAGGGAAAGCTGCGTGCTCACTTTGATGCGCCTCACGGCCTTGACGCGTTCCTCTGGGGTTAGGAACCACGCATTAGTCGGCGAATCGGGGAATGCGAACCTAGAACACCAAAGGCGGGTCAGGACGCCTATCAGGTTCTCAGATTTAGGGACGGAGTGCACCAATACGCAATGGCGGTGACGAGTGTTAGGATGCCCGTGATGATCATCAGCCTGTCATAATCGTCACGCCTATCAGGTTCAAGTGGAAGGCAAACAATAATGAGACGGACCACTGCCACGGCTCCATACCACCGGCATGGATATGTAGGCTTCCGAAGCTAATAAAACCCGAGATGATTTGTGCTGGGCCACGGATCAATTACCTCCCTCTCTCAGAGAAATTTGCTCCCACCTGTTCCGTTCATCAAGACTACATACCCGAAAGTCAGCGATCTCTCTCCCCAAAAGAAAGTATAGAGGCCACGTACACCAGTACCCCACTCTGAGCGTCTGCTCGTTCCGCGTGTAGAACATGGAGCTGACGATCATGAAGCCCGCGGTGATGGCGCCCTCGCACGCGCCAAGGACGAAGCGCACGACGAAGAGGCCCGCGAAGTTCTTGCAGGCGGCATGCAGGCAGAGCACGATGCCCCAGATCGTAATGTTTAAGCTGTTTTGCGGTTAGCAATGTAAGTGGATGGGCGGGGACAGCTCGGGTGTGTATGCGCTGACCTCATCCATTTACCCACGGGGAAGGCTTGGAGGGCGAGGTTTTGGGGGTACTCGAAGAGGAGGTAGCTGAGATAGAAGATCGTGCCGAGCCTATGGCGATGTCGTTGAAACGGGGTACGTATGCATGCGACAAGCTTCGGAACATACCAATTATACCTGAGGGATGATATTGGCCTTTAGTATTGCGTTACAGAGAGCATAGGGATTTACTCACTGGTTCGTCGTAAGGTGTGTGGCCTCGCTGGATGTTGGGTTAAGTATGAAAACGGATTAGTTGGTTGCAGGCAGGCATACCTGATACCGAGGATAGCGGAGCTTCCTAACGTCGTCTTATCCATGAACTGAATCCTACTCTTCTTTCAGTAAGCATATCAAACAATCAGTTTCAACACACGGACCAATACAGTGCTGCAGCACGTTGTTGTAAGCGGGAGCCATGACTCGCAGAGAAAGATACGTACTGCACATCATAGGCAAAATGTGCCAGTCAATCTTCCGCCTGAGATGAGGTGATTACGGTGCCCTTGGAGAAGCGCATCACTACCCACCTTATCCGCATGGCTTCCGCCTCGTCAAGTTCGATATGCGTCCCAGCTAAGAGCTGAGCACCTGTATCGACTTCCTTGGTCGATACGGATACATTCTGCAGGTGCTTCTCGTCCAAGACCTGTGCCTTCCCGAGGTCGCCCTTCTCGCTGTTCTCCGAGCTCATAATGAGAGCGTCACGGTCAAGAGAAGGTGCCGGCAGTTTGGGGTTGACTGGAGCCCGCTCTTATGTACGCGAGTGACGTCCCGTGGCTCGACGTTGACACGGCTTTGATGGGTGATAAGCAGGCGTCTATCTCCGTTATGCAGCAACAGTGGGAGATAAGCAGAACAGCATGGGAGACCTACAAATATAACGCCATTCCGGAAGTATTGGAGCCCTGCGATGATGGGAGTGGTTATAGCGGTGAAAGAAGTACGAAGAAGCGCCGCGGAGTCTATGGCCGTGATAAGGACTGACGTGCATTCAGCCTCCATCAAGACAGTTCGTAGCGCAACTCTCCATGGAGTAAGATTCGCTTAGACGCGTAAGTTGGAAAGTCGAAGAGCGGTGAGTAGTGGGATGTACCATCGAAACAGATCGAAAGACAAACTCGACTTGGTGTTGGCTGTTATACTTTCATTGGGTTGGTTTTGGAAGGAGATCATTGAACGAGATACAGATAGATCATACGCTCAAAACGAGAAGACTACCATTTATTGTTTGGAATCCCTATAGAGAGCCGGGCGGAAAGAACACGATTCAGGCAGTATTGGATGCCTCATCGATGAGGCAGCCGATACTGCCTCGGCATATAGGGATTTGCATTCGGACATATCCAGGAGTGAGCGCAACTCATCCACGCCAGAGATACTGTCAACTGCCCTGTTGTCGAGTTAGGTCTGTGGCAAGACGGAACAGCGTGCTGAGCGGAATCCTGACAATTACCTAAAACGGACGTCTTCACGGTCTCATGACTGCGTTATTTCGAGCTCTGAAGACGTGTATAAGCGATGGCTTGCTCGCTGTTCTCTACAACCCCGACGCTCTCGCGGTGGCCTCCAACATAGACGTACACCATGCTAGCGACATGGCGAAAAGCATCGTCTAGGACGGCATTAGGTGGCTGGCGTCCGTCTCTGCCGCATCGTAACACCTTTCGTCCGCGGTTCAACTCTTCAAGTAGTCTACGCAGTTCGAAACCTGCTTTGACCACCTCTAGAGCTCTCGCTGCTCTAGTTGGTGCTTCACTCGCAAGTGGTTACCTTGGATATAGCTTCGCATTCAGGCAATCGCGCACCGAATCGGCCGCGCAAAGTAGTACCAGTACCGACTCCCTTCGCGACCCGAAATGGGGGTCACCAGAGGACTTCCAAAAGGCGATCAAGGAGCTGGAGGCTAACTTTGCGGGGAATTCAGAGGTGACGGTGGAGACGGACCCTGAGGTGCTACACGTCCACGGGTATTCGGAAAACGACCATCACCCGGGTACGTCTGTTCTGTTCACATATGTATGCCACCTCAAATTTCTGAACTACTTGAACGAAGCGCATGCGCCGACTGTTGTGGTGACCCCCCACACTACGGAGGACGTCGTCAAGATCGTGCACATCGCGAATAAGTACCGCATGCCGATCACGGCGTACTCTGGTGGGACGAGTCTGGAGGGGCAATTCCGTTCGGTGCGTTTATGCTCTCTAGTAGTACCTCTGTACATATTTGCGTGCATGGTGAAGCTATCGATTAGAAAGAAGTGAATGTACGTGAGGACAGGGTACTTTTGGTGCTACCACCTCAGCCTGTCTGATGTTCAGCGCCTGAAGTACCAAGTGCCCATGTCTATTCATCTCGTTCGACCGATAATCTCGTTACTCCTGTACCTGTCTGTAAATCCCTGCTCTGCTCATGCATCCACGTGTAGAGCCCCGTCGGTGGCATATGCATCGACATGGGCGGGATGAATAAGATCCTCGAGATCCATGGTAGGTACCGAAAATAGAGAACAGCTGCCACGATATGCCCTATGCTGACCTTGTGCCTCTTCCTCATACGAAGAGGAAGACTCGGACCTCGTATGCCAGCCAGGCGCAGGGTGGATGGACATCAACGATACACTCAAGGAGAAGGGTACGTTATTCTTTCTTACCCCTGCGACGGGACGTCTAGTAGATAGATAATGCCCCGTGTAGGCCTGCAGCTGTTCTTCCCGGTACGTCCGCTCCCTCCGTGTAGGAATCATCTCATAACCTGCTTTGCTCATACACTAGTTGGATCCAGCACCGAGCGCCACGATAGGTGGTATGCTCTCTAATGGGTGTTCTGGAAGTACGTCTCTTTTCCATCCGATCTTTCCCTCACCTTATATCGTATACTCTCGCAGCGAACGCTGTCCGGTACGGCACCGCCAAAGCGGAGTGGTTTCTCAACGCCGTACGCCACCTGTCCATCCCTTTTACTGACTGCTTCTCATCCCGTCCCATGTTGATCCCCTTCACGTGTCATTTTCTCTTCTCTCGCTCGCGGTGGTCCTCGCCTTGCGCCGATCCCATCTCGCTAATGTAGACCGTCGTCCTCCCCTCCGGCGAAGTGATCAAGACCCGTCGGCGCGCTCGCAAGTCCTCGGCAGGGTTTGACACCACGAAGCTCTTCATCGGCGCCGAGGGCACGCTCGGGATCGTCACCGAAGGTTCGTGAGCGCGCCCCACAACTTATGAAATATGCATGTGCTGAATGGGGAAAAGTTACGATAAGGCTCGCCCCGCTCCTGCCCACGACGGTGGCGGTCGTGCACTTTCCCGACGTCCGTAAGGCGGCTGCTGCCGTGCGCGAGATTCTCAATCGGGGTGTTGGAATACGTGAGTCACCCCGCGCCCGTGTACAATTTCATATTCAAATGTTACTTCCCCCTTGAAACGTCCCAATGCCAACTACGATGGAATAGAATGTGTCGAACTAGTGGACAACGAATTCATGCGTGCCACCAACCTCGTGCACGCGCCGGCCCCGCCGCGGTACCCCGAGCTCGACTCCCTCTTCTTCAAGCTCCAGGGCCCCACGCCCGCCTCGCTCGCCGAGACTGCGCGCATCGTCAAGGAGGTCGTGAGTAAACCCGAGTATGGCGGGAGCGGGTGGAAGCTGGCGAAGAACGACGAGGAGGCGGCGGATATTTGGATGGACAGGAAGAACGCGCATTATGCGGGGCTGGCGCTGTTGCCTGGGGCCAGGGGATGGGCAACGGACGTTTGGTATGTCTCTTCTCTGCACGTGGAGCTGCTGTGACTTCTCGTCTGCGTGCTGGGCTGACTCCTGAGTGGCAATAGTGTACCGATAAGCAAGCTCCCGGACCTGGTGTACGAAACGAAGAAGGATATTAAGGACTCGGGTCTGACGTCTCACATCGTTGGACACGTTGGGGATGGTGCGTTCTTTGCCTGCTTACGCCGTAGCGCCGGTGTTAACGCTGGGACATGACAGGCAATTTCCATGCGCTGCTGCTCTTCCGTGACGACGCCGAGCTGGCAGTTGTGCGCGACGTTGTCCACCGGATGGTTGAGCGCGCAATCGCGCTCGACGGGACATGTGAGCACGTCTCCCTTTTCTTCCCCCGCCTTTTAGTTAGTTATCTGATCAAGGTACGGGGGAGCATGGCGTCGGCATGGGCAAGAAAGAGTACCTATACGAGGAGCTTGGCGAGGGTACTGTCGAGCTCATGAAGGCGATCAAGCGCACGATCGACCCGCTGAACTTATTCAACCCCGGGAAGGTGAATCTGAAGGTGTCGTGCCTATGATGCGAAAGGCTAATTCTCTGGTAGCTTTATCCCGAAGAGAAGGATTCAAAACACCCGAGACCCTGATAGAGGGGATGGATGGGCTCGGAGTGCTGGATGGGATAGATGCTCTTTGCTTGGATCTAGGGTAGATGCTCTCTAGGAATATACCAAAGGTACGCGTGGCCTTTTCATGGACTATTAGTCGTGAGCACCTTGGCAGTGCATAGAAGGGATGTAACGCTCATAGTGCTTATGCCAAAGCAGCGTGGAGGTCACCTCCGGACCATCAGCTCTGGGTTTGCTAGACGTGGCGTGGGCTGGTCCCACGACTCACCCAAAGACAGCTCTGACCTACACCGTGATATATTATGATTAGCTCGAGCAGATCACCTCCCCATAGCATGGCGAAGACGAGTTACTGGAAGACCTGAGTGTACACCTACCAACTGCCAAGCCGCTTATAGTCGTCGCAATTAATAATAACAGGATTATGTCGAACTTGAGCACACGAGAAATTATCTGAAGTCGCTCACTCATCTCTGACTACTCATCCCTCGGGAGTCGCAAGTGTTCAGGTTTGAAATGCCTCTTTCGCCCATCCTTGCCAACGGCTCGGACTTTCGTGGCGACATCTTGAGATGCTCTATGGAGTACGGATTCCTTTCCTTTGCTGAATGCCGCGAAGCCCTTCAGCGTGAAGAATAGGTGCGCTAATGTTCCCGCCCCATCAAAAAAATATGTCTGAATGTTTCCGTGGATGACAGAGAGATCGCACGCCCTTTGTTGTGCAACAGGACCCTGCGGGCATCGTTAGTGTCGGAAAATCTGGAAAAGACTGATAAGCCCTGACAGAACCTGACGGACTGATCAGGCAATATAATGTTATGTTTCAAGGCTGATAAGCCCTTATCAGGTGTTGTCAGGTTTGGATTAGGTAGGGGCTTCTGGTGGTGCTGTAATATCACAGGAATTCTGTAGTAGATCCTGTACGTCGGAAACATCTTGAAATACGGTCGTAGCCTTTACACGGATTGAGTGTTTTAAAGGTGGCATGTTGACTACGGTAGCATTATAGTCTAAGTCTAAAGTTATGGCGAAATCTACAAGAGCCGTACGTCAGAGGACGTGAGCGCGAGCGACGGTAATTACGAGTCGCCCGGTAAGGCAGTATGTATGATATATATATACCAATATGAGACTCACACAGCTATTGTTGCGTAGTGTAGTAGTTATATCATTAGTCTTTACATATATCATCATCTTTCAACTCAAGGCCGCTCGTTCGAGTTCAAAGTCGAAGTACCTGTATTAAAGTGACGTCTTAGATGGTGGTGTCGATGACCATCAGGTGGCGTGGGTGGCTCCTCCTTTTCTCATTTCTGGGACTCATGGCCTTATCCGGGCTTATCATGCCTTATACTGGCTTGTAACCCCTGTCAGGCCTGATCAGCCTGACGGAGGCTTATACGCGCTTTTCGATCATTTCTGAACCCAATAACTCTCCTCGAACCTGATTGACTTATCAGTGCATTATCTGGCATTGTATAGCAATATCATGCTTTTCTGATTTTTCCGACAAGCCATCGCATGATCGTAGCGGCGCAGGGGCCAGTCCCCGACTCCCGAAAGAAATGCTGAACGCATTGGAGTACCGAACGTGTCTCTCATGCTGGACAAAGACAGGTATTGACTGTATATGCATACAATGAAGTACTGGAAATGGACTCAGGTCAACGAGACAGCTTGCTCCGGAAGCCTTGCAAGTCAGGATATATTTACGAGAACGGAATAGCGACACTAAGGGAGGCTCGTGCTGTCCAGATTCCAGACCATCGATAGAGAACGGCTGTCCGAACATTACAGCTGTTCAAAATATAATAGGCGTGCTCAATTCTACAATTCGGCCGTTCGCTCGAGCAATCGTTCGTTCGTTTGCGCCAGGAATAGCTCAAGAAGTGACTTGGGAAGTATTCGGCGCTGCGCGGCACGCCAGGTCCGATTCCTCGTAAGGTAAACGAGTGGCAAGGGTTCTACAAGTAGGTAAATAGTCTTTCTAGCCTCCCGGGCGCTGCGCGGCATCAAGAATACTCCTAGTTATTATATGTTGATCTCAGTGATACTAAATCATATAAGTTCGTAACTCTCAAACATAACTGTGTGTGGCTAGAACCTTCAATCATCCTATACTCGGTGTCAAGTACAGTTATTTCAATACACAATACACTATTTACTTCAGTACTACACTCGGGTAGCATTACTATCGAGTCAGTGCACATGCATACTGTAGCTGAGATGCACATCGTCAGGCTGAGGCCTCAATGCTGCCAGTACTACGCCTCGTATGTAACTTACCAATCTTGTGCCGTAGGCAGCAGGGTACTTGCCATCGGTGCAATTCCACACACAGCCGGGGGATGCCTGACAGTGCCATAGGCCCGAGATCTTGAAAGGATCGAGACCACACTACATATCTGGAATTAGTCCCTATTCACAAACGGTAATTATTGACATGAGAGGTAATAGCTCCTATTTGCTGATGGTGGTAAGATTTGGATCGGTGGACCTTCCATTTAAGGAGGGTGCTCCCGTTACAGTTAAGGTAATTTGGGCTATAAGGGGTATACCCCCTGTTCAACGCTGGCAATTTTTGATCACCAGAGAGCCCTATACAACGACTGAACAGTAAACCGATTCTAGGGGAATCGGAATTCTAGGGGAATCGGAATGCGGGAGATGGCCGAATAATCATGTGACTTTCTCCTTCGCACTGGTAAATTTGGCTTGCTGTAACCCAAATATATGGTTAGGAATGGACTACTGGGCCTGCGCCATAGGATGGGGATTAAAATAATGATGACAGGCACTAAACATCTGCTTTGTTACTATGTTACCACCATGTAATGAGCTTATTGCCAGTGAATAGGAGACGTTGCAAACTTTGAAGTTCGAGCCGCTCGAGGGAGCAGACGCTCGGCTCCCTTCGGCCATCTCCCGCATCACTTCCACCCGAGTGACACCAAAAGCGAGATCCCTTCAGCCGTTTGCAGATTGATGGACCACCAATCCAGAAAATCGCGTATAGTCGGAGTGGGTCGGAGTGCGTCCCAGGGACGTCGGAAGAAGGTAGGGAAGTCCTCAGGGACTTAAAATTGCTTGTCCGACGTGGTCCGACTGTAAATGATTTTTGAAAAGTGGGCCCATCAATCTGCAAACGGCTGTAGACTTGGGACTACGCCCCAAGACGCGAGACCAGGGGGTCTTGAAAACCTTATTTTGCCACCCCCCCTGAACGCCCCCCCCCCCCTGGGTACCCCACCTCATCCCCCTTGACTTCAACGCTCGAGCATCGGTCTACATACAGTACACGTCACCGCCTACACGCATAATAAGGCCGTCCGCTACTCTGCTCGACGCCCGTCGACCACCATGCCCTTGCCGCTTCCGGCCGCGGTCCGGGTAGAAGTCTGGTAGCAAACCCCAACCCTAGGGTGTACCGCCACGGGTCAGGTGACACAGGCGCGCCGCTTCTTCGGGGCTACGTCCCGCCTCTCCGGCGCCTCGTTGTTAGGAAGCGATGTCCTAACTAGTCGTCTTGAGATAACTGGGCTACGTGCCAACAGTTATGTCGTCACTACCTCAGTAAGCGTACTGAAAGGTAGGTCTGGCCGGGCCAATGCCAACGGTCAAGTCAAGAGTCCAGGTAATCGCTGTATTCAACAGGAGGTTGAACTAAGGAATACATGGGTTTTCCTACAGTATATATAGTAACTGGTATAGGGGTTAATACCCAAAGAAGAGAACAATAAGAAAGGACGCGTAAGCTATCCTGTGAGAACGTAACTCAGAGAAATGAGAAATACAAGGGCGCCTATTGGTAGAAGGTGAGTCAAGGGAGATAACGTGTGGGAAGAAGATAGCGTCCATGGGAAGTTCTACTCAGAGAAAGGTACTGTCCAATAGCAATGCTCGGAATGGAAATGGAATGAGATAAGCATGGGAAAATCATAACATTACCCCCTTCCTATGGTCGAAGTTTACCCAAACTTCCTAGTCATGACCGGTTACCGAACCGTCCAGGTCCACAAGAGTGCCATCGTCGTAGTCTTGCTCTTCAGTGGCTTCTTGGATAGCATTGTCCCAAACAGTTCGTTGAGGACAGGCAGATGGATAATGCCCTGGTTGAGTGCGTCCACAGATGTGGCAGCGGAAGAGTCGGCAATGAGATTGGAAATGACCAGGCTGCTGACATGCCCAGCAGATATTGCCATATCTTCCTGTCATATTGGTAGGCAGCACTGGACCGTCGACGTCAATGGGATTCTCTCGGGATCCGGTGGA